TAGTTTGCAATTTGGTGCCGAGATGGTGAAATGGGCTCGAGTCTGCTGGGTATTTAGGGCGCGCAGACACCATCAGACACCAGACACCAGACACCAGACAGACAGCCATCGCGTAATTTCACGCCCCTGTGCATGAAAACTATTCTTTTTCTCGTGCGCACATACTCCACACACGATCACTCTAAACAGCATTTTTTTTGCAAAACAAAACAAAAAGCGTACCCCTAACGGNAGTCTGCTGGGTATTTAGGGCGCGCAGACACCATCAGACACCAGACACCAGACACCAGACAGACAGCCATCGCGTAATTTCACGCCCCTGTGCATGAAAACTATTCTTTTTCTCGTGCGCACATACTCCACACACGATCACTCTAAACAGCATTTTTTTTGCAAAACAAAACAAAAAGCGTACCCCTAACGGGCCACACTAAAACAAAAAAAAATATTATAGATGAAAAATTACCGCCGAGAGCATCCAGCTGGTGTACTCCTCCGTGCTGCTTGACGGGCAGGCTCGCCGCCGAGGCGAGCAGGGCTTCGGCACTTGTCGGCCACAGGGGCGACTCGTACCTCGGGCTTCGGCGACGGTTCTCCCTCGTGCGGCGGCTGGTGAGTTCCGCCGGCTTGCCGAAGCGGGCGAGCCGCCGCGCCTCTGGCCCACNNNNTGCTGCGGCGGTCGTCCTCGCCGCCGCCCACATCGGCCGTGCCGGTCGACGTGGTAGATGGGGCGACGCTCGCGCCCTCCCTGCTCGAGGGGGCGCCATCGCCAGCGTCGCCCGCGCTCGACTCCTGGGGCGCAGCCGGCGCCGCCGCCGGCGCTACGCACGCGGGCGGCCCCGCGGGCCCCGGGGCTGCCGTCGTGNGCGCCTCTGGCCCACGGAGCGCCGGGAGATACGTCTCGCTATCGCTGCTGCGGCGGTCGTCCTCGCCGCCGCCCACATCGGCCGTNCCACAGGGGCGACTCGTACCTCGGGCTTCGGCGACGGTTCTCCCTCGTGCGGCGGCTGGTGAGTTCCGCCGGCTTGCCGAAGCGGGCGAGCCGCCGCGCCTCTGGCCCACGGAGCGCCGGGAGATACGTCTCGCTATCGCTGCTGCGGCGGTCGTCCTCGCCGCCGCCCACATCGGCCGTGCCGGTCGACG